TGTAACATGTACCATTACCTCATTCTTTTTCATAGCTGAATAATGTCCTATTGAATGGATATACTATGTTTTTACCCATTCATTAGTTAATAGACATTTGGGTAGTTTCCAAGTTTTGGTCACTGTGAATAGTTCTGCTGTGAACATTTGGGTGGAAGTTTTTGTTTGAACACCTGTTTTTAATTCCTTTGGGTATATACCGGGGAGTGAAACTGCTGACTCAGGTTGCTATCCTCTGTGTAGCTTCTTAAGGAACAGTCTTAATTGTTTTGCACAGCAGCTACATTTACACTCCTACCGAAAGGGGAATTTTGTCTCCAAGGTTCAAGCTGGACTTACTACGGGGAAGTAGTAATTCCCTACTTGAAATTTTCTTTGTTCAACATGTCCGGGTCTGTCCTGCTTCACATACTCTGAGCTCAGGAATATCTTTGTCTCTGGAAGAGTCCTGTCATTTCACCAGAATGAAAATGAGATATAAACCTCATATTTTGAATTACTCAATAAACATGTTGCCAGTATCATATGTGAGCCATTACCATGCCTGAGCCCACCTGCTAAAAAATATTCAAACTCTTTAACCAATAACTGTACGTCAGATGTGCCTTATCTGTAACCCCACCCCTCCCAAAGAGTATATCTTCCTTTGCAGAGCGCTGGACTGGGCCAGTCTCCCACATGGTGAACGCAGCCTGGTCCGCGGGCGTTAAATAAAGTTTCACTTTCACTTTGTCTCCTCAGCTCCCGGTGTGCTTTCTACCCTCCCCGGTTAGTGGCAGGAAGCTGTATCAATCAGACAGAAAATTTGCCGTTTCACTACCATCAGCATAAACGTGTTCTAGGGCTGGGGAATTTAGCTCAGTGGTTCCACCGCCTCCTCGCAAGCGCAAGGACCAGAGTTCGAACCCGAGTACAAAAAAAAAAAAAAAAAAAAAGTAAAAGGGTTCTAACTTCTCCACGTCCTCACCAACACTTGGTGTTTTCTATTTTTTTCTTTTTAGTTTCTAGCCACACTAGTAGAAAGAAAATGTTATTGGGTAGCCGACTTAACAACCATTTGTGAGTCAGAGGTGCCAAATCTGTGCTAAGAGTGAGCCTACATCAAAGCCTTTCTCTCCTCCAGGAATCAACATGTTGGACTCTCTCCATTTAAAGATATCCAAGTTGATTTAACTGAACTTAAACCGTACTTAAACTTAAACTTAAACATACTCAAGGTGGCCAGAAGCCTTTCCTACTAACACTGAAAAAGCAAATGAGGTCTACAGAGTTTTATTAAGGGAGGTTATACCTAGGTATGGCTTGCACCTGACTATGAGAAATGATAATGGATCAACATTTGGGGTCAAAATATCTAAAAAATTAAGACAGTAAAGATTAAATTAAAAACTACATAGTTCAGACAAGGTTAAAATAATAATAAATAAATAGGACCCTAAAATCTATTCTCATTAAATATCAAAAGCAAAACAAAACAAAACAAAACAAAACACAAGCCAACTAGGACAACTAGGCCATAAATGTTTGAGAGAACAACTTATACAGTTAAAATGACATTAGCTTAGTTACATGAAAATATAGCTGAGAGGTTTGCTATGACAGACCTGGAGGTATGGTATAATAAAAGACTTAAAAAAGGACCCCTACAACCTTCTTGGTGGAGACCATATCATCATTCTCAAGTCAAAAAGGCCATCATGATGGCCCCTGGGAAACCCACATTGATGAGATGGCTCTCTTTAAGATCACCCTGAGAGGGCCAGGGATTTAGCTCAGTGGTTCCACTGCCTGCCTCGCAAGTGGGAGGACCTGAGTTCAATTCCCAGTACCACAAAAAAAAAAAAAAAAAAAAAAAAACCC